TTGCGGGTAAGTATTTTTGATATCATTATTGAAAGGAGAGAAAATCGTCGTGTTTATACATATTTGTTTTATTGCCAAGTACTTTCGTCATATGCATGTCATCATCCCTTTATAATAAAGTAAATATTATAGCATTCTTTGTTTTCAGAGACAAATTCTTGTGTTATCTGAAAGTTAAATTTCATACAAATCGAGTGAGTTCTGAAAGTTACATTTCTTACAAATGGAGTTACACACACACACACACACACACACACACACACACACACACACACACACACATATATATATATATATATATATATATATATATAAATCGCCTCTATTTTAGAAAATTAGAATATTATATATATATATATATATATATATATATATATATATATATATATAACCAGGTAAGATAAGAACAAATATTGTATAGATTTTTAGTTAGTATTATTAACATTTTATATGAATGCTCTCTACTTAACGGATGCATATTAATTTACCAAAGTAGTTTTGAATTTATGATTCTTTTTTTCTTCTTAAAAAAGCCTTTTTAATTATCAACTACAAAATTCTATGTAAGAAGCTGATAACTAATTAACAATATGCTAGATTATCTCCCTCCTCCTTCCATCTTAACTTCTTGTCAAAGTTGAACGTCATACATATTTTACGAGACAATGTAACCATTTGTATATGACACAAATAACACTGTCTCGGATTCCATTTCAGACAATTTCATGTCAAGGCCTACATATTTTTCAGTTAGTTTGGATTTTAGCGTAGACCTCATACCTGATTGTTTAATCACGTTAAAGCCACAAACTTTATTTTAATTCTGATTTTATGTTTCGAAAAAGAAAAAGTATTCTGCTTTTGAAATTAAATTAATCGTTCACTCACCAGAAATTTACCATAACCCGAGGAAACATATTTGCAATGTTTAAACAGGATTGCTATTGTGTAGCGATTTTTAACGTTTTTTGTTTTAATCTTCTATAATATATATATATATATATATATATATATATATATATATATATATATATATATATATATATATATAATTAGAATTTATATATTATTTTCGTTCTCTTTACATTCGGATATATATATATATATATATATATATATATATATATATATATATATATATATATATATATATTTACTTCAAACGTTACTATAGTGTTGGATACTTCGATTTCGAGAAATCTTAGTCAAGAAAAATGCGTTCCTCGTCATTTTTTCTTTGTAAGGTTTCTCATATGAGCTTTCTTTGAAATTTAAAAATCTTTTAGGGTCATCTAAATTGGCTTGGGAAAGCTGTATATATTTTAGGAAAGGACATATTTGAAAAAATACCCTGCACAAATTTCTATTTCGGTTAGGTTTCATAGCGGCACTGTCAAGAATTTTCCGTTATTTTTTCTTTTAATAAGTGTGGCATTATATCTATCTATCTATCTATCTATCTATCTATCTATCTATATATATATATATATATATATATATATATTATTTACATTCTTCGGACTGTTCTCTTCATCTTTTTTGCCATATTCACGACGTGTTGGTCGTTGTACACTCCGGCCTTCTTCAGGTAACTGGAATTTCGATCTGAACCCTTATTTCGTCTATTGGGGTATATTGTTCTAGTTCCACGTGCCATGTCTCTTCCGGATGTTTCAGTTATCTCCCTTTAGCTCAACTCTCTAATTTTTGGGTCACCACTGTAGAAGCCAACTATTGAACTCACAACTCTTTGGGTCAAGTCACTGGATCCAACCAACGCTTTTATCCACTGGGCCATGTGTCTCTGAGGGCAATACCTGGCTATTGGTTAAATAGCAAGGTAGACTGGATTCTTGAGCCTTTGGTGGCGGTCAGTCTAGAAAAAGGACAAACTCGGAATTGCAAAATGGGGATAAACGAAAAACCACTCCGATATCTTCCTCATAACGTCATTGAAATTCACAGCTAATAAAGAAATAGAATTTGTCGAGAGCCATGATCGCTTATTTCCTCCAAGGAACATGACATTGTTAAAGATCTTGTTGTTGTTATCCGAGTCGGAAGTGAAATCGACGAGTCGAGTTCAAATTCCAGACATGTCTGCGGCGTTCATTTTTACACTAATGCTCTTGGTAAAGGCGTAGTTGCTTTTCATCTCTTTCTAGCCATAGTTTAAATAGCAGGGTCGATTGGACTCTCTGCCATTGGTTGGTTGCCATTTTAAGAGAACAACATCGAAAGAATTCTCTAGAAGTCACGGGAATATCACAGAGAATGAATAAAGAAATCTGCGGAAAGTTATAAACACCTTCGTCTTGCAGGGACATGACATTAAAAATGATGTCGATATTGTATAACCAGCTGTTTATATAACCTGTTATATTACAGGGTGATAGTTAGCCAAAGGCAACGTCTTCGTTGTCTCTGATCATTAAATATGATCTAGTGCATGTAATTCTAATTAACAGTGATTATATTTGCATTTTAACAGCAACTACATTTAAACAAGAAATCCGTAGCAGGCTTCTCTTGGCGCACACGGGATTTGCAAGTACTCTACCGTTGTAATCTTTTTCACTTATTTTTGCACATGTTGTTTCTCTCTTTTTACCAATGGCTTTAATGAACCCGTAATTGTTCCTCAAAACTAAGTTTGTCTTCCTTGTAGTTATTCTAAAATCCAAATTATTTTCGTGATTTTTATTTTTTCTTCATTTTCTCTCTTCTACATAAAGGAAATAAATTTAGAACAAAAAAAAAAGGAAAAATTTCGGTGGGTGATTTCTCCTCTTATTAACAGGTGTGTCCATTGGACCGATTAAGTAAAAAAAATATCGTCCATTTTAAATAGGTGCCATTTCTTTTTCTGAAGAAAGCAATAATATCAGCATTACTTATTCAGAATTGGTTGATGATAGGAACGATGGCAACACAGCCGACAGAAATGATTCTTCAAACTCTTCAATGAGAAATGAAAAATATTATTCGAAGGGCACAAGTAAAAACTCAAAGCTACAATGTTTTACATCAAAAGCCTGGGTCTTTACGTTTTACAAGAAGAGCTTGTGATTCAGCTCTTTCGTCATTTATATTGTTCATGAAGGTAAATCACCTGGAAATAATCCCAAAATGGATAAATACTGAAGGAATTCGTGTCTCGCAGATACTGATACAACTACAAACTCTCGTGAGCAATACATTTCCCAGGAACCATCCAATGAGATAAAGAAAATATGATGCATCGTGTCTGGTCCTAAAATGGATAGAAAAACGCAAACTGTCTCTCATATTTGCCAAAAAAAAACATGTCTGTCAAAGTCTTTTGAATGTATTCTGTGCATAATGCACTGACAAATTGTAATTTAAAAAATGTCCTTTGAATTAAGTTTATAATTTCAAATTAAATGCAAAGATGTAATTTTTCTGTTTCAGTGAATAAATTTTGATTAAAATTGTTATTTCTTTGTCCATCTATAATTATACATACCTAATATCATCAAAAATGCAAAAAAGTTTTAAAAAAAGAAGAGAAATGCGTCTATTAGACCCAGGTGGTATTTAATGTAAGTCATTTTCTTGGTAGACTGAGGGAATTAAAGTTCGTATTAGCAAATTTCGGTCCTGTATTTAAAATTGCATATGAAATATAAACAAAATAGAATTATCAGTGGTCCGAAATTAAGGCAAGTGTTGCGAACAGACAGAATATGGCTATTATATGGATGATTTAAAGAATTTTGTCACAACTAATGTTTCTGTTCCTAATTCCTCCACATGCTTACGTGATAGTAGTTGTACTGGTTTGCTTGGGACTGATACCGTTAAAAAAACAAACACAAAATTAAAAAACGAATGCATTACGAATCAGGGAGAAAGAGATTATCATAAATTTAACGCATTATTGACAGAGAGAATAGCGAAATACAAATTTCATTGGCAAAGTTTTTATTATAGAAAACGTTACAAATTATTTTATTATCTTTTGTTAAATATTTTAATACAGAAATGCTGTGAAAATACGGAACATGATTGTCAGTGGTCAGACATTAAAGCAAAAATGACAGGAAGAAAGATTTTGGCTGATGTATAAATAATTAACACGTCCTGGAAAAATAAAAGTATAAACTTGACAAGTCATGTTTTTAAATAAATATTGTACCTTTCGGTAATTTGTTGTGTGAAACCGGAAAGAATATTAGATAGCGCCGACACTCAGATGCTAAGGCTGGCTTTGCATATCACTCGGAGAGATCATTGGACCAATGAGCGATTGTACGGGAACCTACGTCCAGTATCAGACACTAAAGAGCGTAGTCAGATTCGAAAGGCATTGCTGGAGAACTAAAGAAGAAACTGTTAATGAACACCTTTTGTAGGAGCCTACACAAGGACGAGATAGCAGAGGACGATAAACCAAGACCATATCGAGAAGATTTGTGACGACATAAACTGCAACCCCATTGATCTGCCGAATAGGATGGCGAAGCAGTTACGGAAATCTGTGCGAGCAGATCGACGGTGATGGTGATCTTGTATAAATGAAAATGGAATCCTTAGATTAATGTTATCGATAATTGTTCTTGACTCCGGAAGTGACGACAAACGTAAGTATTCATCTTCTGGTGGACTAGCATTGAATAAACTGTGTCTACAGCGGGAGACAGTTGTGTCGCTTAAAATCAAAGTCAAATTAAAAAGAAAAAAAATAGACAATAGCTTTTAATATTTTCTTCTTTAACTACAAAGGACACAGGCATTGATCTTTTCTATTGCTGACTGTTTCTCAGCACCACTGACCTCGCCCAATCTGTCACTTTTCCTAACCTGCATCCTTCCATAAAAGCAAGCTGTAGCAATTTCTATTTTCGGCCGCGTTTAATTTGTGCTTAATTGACTTGCACAGATCGATGGAAGCATTAATTGGGTTGCACAGATCGATAGACTTATTACACGTTTTAATCTTCTTGTGTCGTTATGTTAGATGCTATTCTTCTAGTCAGTAACAAATATTTTTTCTTCTATCTCTCTTTCTATACTGCTATTCATTTCTTCTTCTTCTCTTTCTTCTTCTTCTTCTTCTTCTTCTTCTTCTTCTTCTTCTTCTTCTTCTTCTTCTTCTTCATCTGCTGCTGCTGCTGCTGCTGTCCACCTTACTTTCCTTGATCATTTTCGACTAGTTATCTCTTCTTCCTGTCGCTTCTCGTTTTCGTATCAAGATACAAAATTAAGGCAAGTGTTAATGCCAGAATACAATGTGTGCCTGGAAGAAAGGTTCTCGCAGTTTGCTGAACATTATCTTTATGTAGAAACCGCGACAGCTATCCTTCCAACCAAATAAATGAATCAATAATAGTTTTATTACAGAAAAGTAATCAATATTAGGAATGAAGAGATTTTCAGCGGTTAGGAATTAAAAGAAACGTTAATGATGGAATAGGTTTATCATATGTCTGCTGCGAATTCATATCTTTGGGTTATAAATATACGATGCCCAATATGCCCATTACGAAAACCAGACTGATAAGGGTTAAAAAGGCACATACATTTCAGTCAAATATGAACGATACGATGAGAGTATTTGATGAGAGCAGCCCTTAATCTTGCAGGTGGGGCCCAACTAGAAATACATTCAGGTAGAGCAACACATCTCGTTCCAAGGGTCTCTTTCATTATCGTCCTGGCTATGGCGATAAATTACATTCGGTAGGAAGGCCTCAGATGGGGGGGGGGGGCTTTTGAGGAACTTAGAACCCCCTCTTAATTGCTGTTGTTACCAAGTCCACCCTGACTTGGCGTGGTAGTATCTATTAGAATGCTAGCTATAGGAAAAGAGTTAATCCCCACTCTGGGGTAAAAACACTATGAAGGTATAAAAATAGATTTTAATAGTAAAAAAACCAGCAATCCATTTGTGAAAAAAATATTACAAGCAATCCATTTTTGAAAAAAATGTCACCAGCAATACATTTTTGAAAAAAAAATATTACAAGTAATACATTTTTTAAAAAAATATTACGAGTAATACATTTTTGAAAAAAATATTACCAGCGATAAATTAAAAAAAAATATTACCAATAATATATTTTTTAAAAATATTACCAATAATATATTTTTTAAAAATATTACCAGCAATACAGTTTTGAAAAAAATATCACCAGAAATAGATTTTTGAAAAAAATATTACCAATAATACATTTTTGAAAAAATATTACTAGCAATACATTTTTAAAAAATATTACTAATAATACATTTAAAAAAAATATTACCAGCAATGCATTTGACTCTCGATAAAAAATCCTCTTTTACAAAAAATACGTCAATGAAACCTTACCTATGAATTGATTCCTTACAAAGAATACATACTCTTTTTATACGAACGTATCCGAAAAATCTTGTCGGCATTAAATAACCTATTGAGGTTGATATGCCATGAAACAAAATACACCGAACCAAACCAAATCTAAGTGTCTAGACATGACACGCCAAATCACATTGACTGCCACATATTTCATACTTAAAAAAAAAAAAATCTCCCGACCCTTGGTCATAATACCCCACCACCATTCACGTTCATAAACTCATATACACAACCGCTAGGAAACATGCCCGACTGAAAAGTAAATATATAGTACTGAACGGAAAATTTACTGCAGTCCATCTTAAATGTTAATGCCGCCAATCAATTAAAATCAGAAGCTATGAGAACCATGTCTGGTATAGTATCAGGGCGATATTATTGTTATTATAATTATTTATTTTGCCTTTGCTTGGTTTAGTACAAGAGACCAGAGACTTCGAGAGACAGCACATCAGAAGAGTCAAGCAGATGAAGAGCCATGCAGAGAGAAAAACGGTCGTCAGTTCATGGAGAGAAATCTGCACAAGATGTGGGAGATACCCATGAGCATGATGTTTTGCAATTCATATATTTCAAAGCGACCAGGAATTTAATCCACATGTTTGCTGGCTCGATTTTTATCATTCTCAAAGCCCCAATACCTAATTGTCTGCACTATTTGACTGATTTCTACATCAAGGTACTTGTAATTACCTAGTTTCTAAAATGTTTTCAAGGATCAGATTTTGATGACTGGAATTGTAACATCTATCAGATAATATGTCTTTTCAACATAATTTTTCACAATTATGTCTAGTCGATTTGCTTGGATTTCCTTAGTAACCGAATCATTCTATACAACTTATGGAGGATTATGTTTCCATCAATTATCTTCACGAAGGAGGCAGAATGAGCAACATATTGACAAATGTATGTATTAAGTATCTCTATCATGTCATTGCAAGTACTCTATTATTATTATTATTATTATTATTATTATTATTATTATTTCCTTTGATTTCTGGTGTGTACACATTTCTTTCCGGATCCAGCCCATAGACCTAAGGTCAGAAATGGCGTCATAACATTTTCCACTGACCAATTAAAAACAACAAACATAACACACACACACACACACACACACGCGCACACACACACACACATACACATTTTACCTATATTAAGCCCTTCGTAAGGTGTGGGCTGTACTCGTGAGAACATTTTTGGGGTTTTTTAAGACATGGGCTTCCAGGAATCCCTTCAATGAATCTGCTGGAATCTTTTCCAACCAATCCAAGGGCTCCAACTACAACAGGGATTGTTGATGTTCCCATGTATCACATTTTTGAGATTTCCATTTCAACGTCCTTGTATTTTGATAGCTTTTTGAATATCTTCAAACATATATTGCAGTCTTCAGGGACTGCCATGTCAATAAGGAGGCATTTTTTTTTGTTTGCAGTCTTTAATAACAATGCCTGGGCGGTTAGTTTTGATTCTTCTGTCTGTGTGTATTGTGTAGTCCCATAAAATTGTTACATGTCCTATCTCTGTAACTGGGTCTAGGTGGTGTTCATATTATCATCATTTTTATTTCCTTTGATTTCTGGCGTTTACACATTTCTTTCCGGGTGCCGCCCAGGGACCTAAGGTTAGAAATGGCATCATGACGTTTGGGGTTTGCCACTGACAAAAAAAAAAAAAGAAAAAAAGTTACATAGATAAAGCCCTTCGTAAAGTGTAGGCTGTACTTGTCAGAACAGTTTTTTGTATCTCTTTGAGGCATGGACTTCCAGGAATCCCTTCAATTAGTCTACTGCAATCTTTTCCAACCAATCCTAGGGCTCCAACTACAACAGGGATTGTTGATGTTCCCATATGCCACATTTTTGAGATTTCTATTTCAAGGTCCTTGTATTTTGATAGATTTTTGAATATCTTCAACGATACATTGCAGTCTGCAGAAACTGCCATATCAATAAGGAGGCACTTTTTTTGTTTGTGGTCTCTAATTACAATGTCTGGGTGGTTGGCTTTGATTGTTCTTCTTCTTCTTCTTCTTTATTATTATTATTATTATTATTATTATTATTATTATTATTATTATTTCTGATGGTATCGTAAACTAACGTGGTTAATGGAAATTCTGTTTTTTAGGCATGGTTTCAACAAGACTCCTTACAACTCAAGAACTTTTCGGAGAATCATCGCAGGGTAAATGATGGCAGTTTTATGTGGGTCTATAATCTTGGTCTCAATTGTAATTTTACTTCACACTTCTGTCAAATTTCTAGGCAGTGTTCCAAGTTCAGCCATTACTATATGAATTATTTTAACCGTCATGTTCCATAGGTTCTTCAACTCCCTAAGCAGATCCAGGTATTTTTTCAGTCATTTCAGTTTTTTAGTCAACTATTGTATCATATGCAACAATAAAATCAATAATTTGACATATGCTACTATCCTTATCTATAATAATAAGATCAGGTTTCTTTCCTTTAATGATATGTTCTGTCTAGACAGAAAAAATCACATAATATCTTGTCATTTTCTACCACCGGTTTTTTTTTTACGTTAAAGCCAAATTTACGGCAAAATTCTCAATGGATTCTCTTATTAATTAAATCATGTCGTTGCTTAGATAGGCCAAAAGCAAATAAAAGAAAGTCAAAAACCTCGACATAGCCAGTTCCTTCTCCGAAGCAAAAATGCTGATGTAGATCAGTTCATAACTTATCAGTGGCTAAGAAGAGAGACAGAAGGGTTTATACTAGTTGCAAAAGACCAGAGCCTGATTACATGCAACTAAAAAGGATTTCCTATTTAGGCAGCAATTAATCAATTTTGTCAAGATTGAAGGTAAATTTGGGCTAAGGTTCTTAAGATCAACCACCGAGATTTTATCCGGTCCAGTAACCTTCATAGATTCAAGGTTTTTGATGAGTCTGGAAACATCCCGTACCGTTATAGAGATATTACAAAGATTGTGCTTCGTGAGAGGGGGGAAGTCAGGTTGGGGATAGACCGTGTTGTTTAACGTACAGTTAGAGGCAACGTTCATTGCAAAGAGTTTTGGCATCACACACGTGAATGATTACGGATTGTTAACTATGACCTTATGTGAAACCAATAACCGTGTGGAAGTACGTTACTTGGTGCCGTATACTAGATCGATTATGATTGAGTAGTGACTTCGATCATCACTAGGTGCTCCATACTTGAGGCCTTGTGTCACATTAAAACTACGGTTATATTCCAAATACGGATTCTTTCATTCAAGATTCATATATTTTAGTTTGTAAGTAACTTTAAGCGGGAGAAATGATTTTTTTCAGAAAACAATTAAAATTAAATTAAAATAAATTATTGATTAAAAAAGACAAAATTAAAATAAATGGCTTAATTAACTTATCTCCTTTTCTCTCTTTAGTAGACTTGGACCTTCTTTATGATGCAAGCCAAGAAAACCTATTCTCCTGTGAAAAAGAACCACAAATAGCTGTTTAAAATAAAGTTCAGTAAATTCTCAATTTATTAGAAAATACCGCCTTTAATTTGGCCATGAAACTTACTGAGGAAGTTTACTTGCTTTGAAAGTCAAGATTCGAAATCCCAAAATTCATATTCAGGGTACGATATGTGAATTGTTGCCATTTTATATTTTTAATTTCGCGCATGCGTGATGTTTGCTTTTAATTTTTCAACTGCACTGTATACTAGGGTCAGTTGGCACCGTCTGAGAGAAAAAGAGCAACCTGAAGCAATTTTCTCCGCAAGAAATTTGGAAACGGCATACTGTACTGCTTGTCATTCGTGCCGGTAACTCCAATACGAACATTTCAGAGTGCTTGGATGTCAATCAGAGGACAGTATAGAGGATTTGGAAAGAGTTAGGAAGGTGTTTGAAGTGATCACTAGTAATGGCGATGTTATGCCTCCATTCATCTTCCCACAGGGCCTCAGACTATAACACGGAGGCCTACACCAATTGCCTTGAGGAG